AAGCTTGTCTTACTACATCAATTAAGACTGAAAAGTGAGTTCAATTCTCACTGAGTGCCCCAATCTTTGAAGCCTTGTGCCACATCTAAGCTACACTTAGAAAAATCACCATAAGTCAAAAACTTGAGACAACACAATATGAATTTTGGCCAATTTACAGACCTTCTCAATGTGTGACAGCACCAATGAAAGTGAATAAATGGAATCCAGTAAATGTACTTTGTATTACTTGTTCTTCTATTGTTCTTATTAGTTTTTGGTTCAATTATAAAATGACAAGACTTTGACCACCCTCAATAAAAAAAAAAATTTAATAAATATTATTTTTTTTTTTTAAAAAAAAAAAAGAAGTTTGTTCACGGAATGAATAGGTTCACACTTTATCATTGTTTGTCCATGTTTTCCTGCATTCTTACATAAAGCCCATGTGTAAATATATGTAGAGGTTACTCAGTGCAGAATGAAATCAGGCTAGTCCAATAGAAGATGGGTTGGGAAAATGAAATTAAAAATACTGAAATTTAACAAGTGGTGAAAAAAAAAAAAAAAAAAAAAAAAAAAAAAAAAAATGTCTTTTTTGTTTTGCTTTTTTACTTTTTATGAAGAATGTTATGAAAAAATAAAATAAATTTTACATCATTCTCAAAATGAATTTTCATTTGAAATTTTATTCTCATCTTTCTCTCAAATTATATTTGGTCTAAAAACCATATCGTTCTCTTTTCAACATGTACAATTAAAACATACACACACACACACACACACACACATCCTGTTCCGCTTATCAGCCACAGGATATTTTTCCTATCATCCCAAAAAAAATTTTTTTTTTTCAAATCTTACAAGTAAAAACTGAGGTAGGGTAATTCTGAGAAGAAAATATATTTGAAAAAAAAAAAAAAAAAAAGCTATTAAACAATAAAATATAAAACAAAAAAGTGAAATTATGCTATTTCAATGTTTATTTACATTATCTGTAAAACATGCCTTACTAAACCATACAATATAAACAAAAACTCAAAACTGTTATCAAGGTCATTAGATTATATCTTGAAATAAATCGCTATTTTCTTAGGTTTCTATGAGAATGGGTTCAGTATAATTAACTTCCAGTGACTTGAAAACAAACATAATTACAAAAAATATTATAAGAGGGGTAAAAATAAATCCAAGACGAAAATGGATAACATTTTATTTTCAAGATGTTGAAATATTAACAAAATTCACTAAACCTTTCTTGTTTAATATTTTTAAATCTTTTGTAAGTTCACTTTTAAGAAATATATTCACATTATTATACATTTTCTTCGACTCATTTCTCCCCAAGCAAGGCAATAAAGCCACTAAGGTGCAAGGAGTTACTGACTATTAGAGAATATAAGAAAAAGAAAGCAATGAAAGAGAATAATAAAAAAACAGGAATTAAGACAGATGATAACGCTTGACATTGCATTTAAAAATTTGAAAGATCAAAATTAACTGGAAAGCAAGAAGCCAGAAGAGAGTTTCACGAGTGAAAAGTGTGATAGAAACTATTAGCATAAGTTATATCTAGCCATTTCAACTGTAAGTTGGCGAGACCTTGCCAAAAAAATATATATATATATATATATATATGAGTGGCAAATCTGGGGGTCAGGCTTGTCAGACTCAGCCCGAGTGAGTCAATATCCAAGTATATCTATTTTAAAAAAAAACAAAAATCTTTCATAGTGCATTATTTTCATTTTTGACTTCAACTGGATCTAAAACTGTTTTAACTCCATGCCTCAAAATATTGACCAAAATACATTTTATTGATATTGTTTGTAATGAAGAAGAATGAAAGAAAAACAAATTAAAAAAAATCAAAAAAACAAAGTTTATAAAAAAAAAAAAAAAAAAAAAAGAATGAAATAAAATTAACATGGCTAGCTGGACTGCATAGGTCTATTGTAGCTGGAGACAAAGTTAATAGGCAATGTCTTTCTTGCTTTAATTATATAAATAATCTTTTAAAAATCTCTAATGACTTGTATACCCTGTTTTTTTAAAGAACACATTTTTATTTCAACTTATTGTTTCAATTGAAAAAGGGCAAATTAAATTTAACCTGACTTCAAGTCAGTGAAAATCAAAGAAAGTGGCAGCCGTAACTCATAAACTGGAGGGTTGGGGTGAGGAATGTGACCGGGGTAGTGTTGAGGAAATATGAGATCAGTCAGCAGTACTAATCATAAACTTACCATAGATTAAACTAAAAATTCACAGAGAGATACATCAACACACTAACACATAGACATATATACAAACACACACTCAAGATATATACACACATTTTACATGTCTAGAAAATTTTTTTAAAATAAACATTGTTATAGAATTATTACAACTAATATTAGAATACCAAAATCTGTTTTTTTTTCTTTAATTTCATGCACAGAGATTTTAAAAAATTATATATTTTACTTATAGTAAAGGAATCATTTTAGCATCTAAGCTATACCAATAGTATATTTTGTTAAAGACTGTAATGAGCCCGGCAAACATTGATGACCAAGAGTCACCACTGACATATATATATATATATATATATATATATATATATGAGAAATATGTGTGTCTGTGTGTAACATCAGTGATTTTTAGCTACTTATAAACAAAATTTCATTCCAATCAATTTAAATTAATTTTGAAATACAGCATCATATTTTGTTTATTGGAAATATCAATTTTAATCTATTAGCTTGAAATTCTAACTAAAATAAAACCTCCAAGAAAGATTTTTCTTTTTTAATGATTCATTTTAAACTTTTGGTATTGCTTTTCTTTGGAGATACTTATATATAACATGCATATGCAGATGACAAAACTAAAACACTAGAAAATGTACACATTTTTTTCTCTCATATATATAATTTTACAAGTGTATGTACATATATATATACCATCAATGCTTTCTGCCTTATGTGTATATTTTGATTAGAATTCTGGCTGAGTGCCAAAGAGTGGATCAGGTTACAAACACAAAGAAACTCTGAGTGAACCACAAGTGTAAAAAAAATGTTAACACCACAAAGTTATTCATAAGGGAATAGAATGAGGATCCATGCTACAGAGTCTTTCTTAGGGATGTGCAATAAAAGGCCTCATGGGTCCCATTGAGGGAAGGGTTTTTAAGACAGAAACATGGTGTATATAAATACATCACACACCCTCAGGCCTATATTCTAATGAACAAGTGTGTGTGTGTGTGTGTGTGGATATGGAATAATCACATACTTCTCTTTAGTGGTGAGAGCAACAGACTGGTTGTGGGGAGGTCTTAATTTCCAGTTATGAAACGAATGTGGTGTAAATTGTAAAGAGGAAAGCACAACTTCAAATAGACATTAAAATGCTTCTTTTCTAAAAGTTATATTCTTTGAAAATTTAATATGGTTTATTTACCAAGTTTGGCTGAGTTGGTTATCAGGCCAAATTAAGAAAAATGATAGGAGGAAGATTGCCAATCTTCCAAGTGAAGAAGTCTGTTAGATTTGAAAAATCACAACTTTGAACACAATACTCCACATATTATTCAAAAATTATAAAAATATAATAAAAAAAAAAAATTAAGCAGACAGTCTTTGTTGGTTCCTTTAAACGAAAGTTGTTTGGATAAATAATTGCTGCCTATATTTTTCTAGGAATGGATTAACTCCGACATTTTTTAATTTATTTATTTAAACGTTATTTTTAATGGATACTATTATTTGAATAGAGGCTCTGTCTTTAATTATGTATTAAACAGTATATTTATTTCCCCTCTAGCAGCCTGAATATTTGAGAAATCTTGTTAGAAAAATATACACCCTCTGGCAGGATTTGAAACTGTGTCCTCTAGAAGAAACTGTCATCAGATCTGATGTGCCTTGACCTCTCAGCTACTTTTTTTCTTTTTAAATATGTTTTAGGTATATAGTTTAAGCAATTTCATTTACTATTCTTTCTGTTTACATCACTTTTGTTATTAAATATATCATACTGGAATAATAAATCTACCAAGAAAGGTGAAATTTTGTAAAAACCTGAATGTGAATTTACTGTGGATGATCTAGCGATTAAAGCACTTTCTATTGTCTTAGTAAATTGCTTTTGTGTTCATATAATCTTTTATCTAAATTCCTTGAGGCAATTATTACAGGTAATAGAGTAAATTATGAAGTCCTAAAGGACAACATGATTTATAAGATTTCTTTTCTTTGTCATAGCTTTATTCCCATATATATATATATATATATATGAGAGAGAGAGAGAAAAAGATAAAAAATAGGAAGGTTTATCAAGAAATATTTCATCCTGAGGGAACAAAATATAAAAATATAGTCCTGTTTTTGTTTAAAAAAAAAAAAAAAAAAAAAAAAAAAAAAATAATTCATTCTTCTATGTGGCGATTTCCCAAGTTATGGGAATACAATGAAGATTGCACTTGTAATTGCAATGATCTGATTTTCATTACAGTTTTTATTTTATTTGTTAGCATATGATAATTTTAGCTAAGCCTGGACATTTTTTATTTTAATCATATCACCCCAAATAAGGCAATAATGCCACTAAGACACAAGGGGTTAGTGGCTGTAAAAGAGAATGAGAAAACATTAGTGAAAAGAAAGGATAATAAAAGAACAGGATTCAGGAAAACAGAAGACTGCAATAACATTGTATTTAAATTCTTGAAGAATGTAGGTGGCAAGGTTCATTGATTGACTAATTTTGTTTTGTTCTGTTTTTTATGACTTATCAACTTCTTGCACCTTATTTAAAGCCAGAAAATATGTTTTAGATTGTAAGAATTTTTTGGTGATGATAATAATTTACTGATACAAGTCCTACCAATTAATCCATAGCTGGGGTGGATTCATACTTTTCCCAAGGGTAATTGCATGTAAGTGAATGTAACAAAGTCAAGTTGTTTTGGAAATTGGCTCTTCGATTTCATATTCTGAGCCATTATCCATTACAATCCCTGCACATCCAAGCTTACATCACCTGGTATTCCCAAGTGGTCACCCATCTAGATACTGACTAGGCTCTACGTTGCTTAACTTTGGTGATTGTACAAGAACTGGTGTTTCAACATGTCATGGCTGTAACCTTTGTAGGTGGCAGGGAAGTAAGAAACTGGAAGAGATTTTGACAGGTGAGAAGTACAAGAAAAGAAACATTAAAATAGCATGTACACAGTTAGATTTAACTATTTCAACAGTAAAACAACAAGACCTAGTTGCCAATTTAGTAGCTCATTTAAAATTCATTAGAACAATTACTATGAAAATACTCATAGAAAAGACAGAAAGAAGCTATGTCATGGTGGTGTGAAAGTGAATGAAGTTGAGATGTCAGATTAGAACTGATATGGCACCAATATTCAATGCATGGTAGATTCATAAATGTACAAGATGGATTCTGACAAGAAAAAATGTTGGTGGAAAATGTAAGAAATAAATTCTTTTGTTTGATCTTTATTTCATTCTTAAACTAACTGTAATGAGATTTTAAAATTTCAGTTATTTTCCATAACTTGCATTAACTTAAGTTTTGGACTAATCTGAGCCTTGTCACTAGTTTCATGGTTAAAAAAGAAAAAGAAAAAAAAATTATTATTATATATATATATATATATGTGTGTGTGTGTGTGTGTGTGCAGGAACCCATAAGTATTAACAAAACTTAGTTTAGTCCGCCACAAGTGGAAGCCATCTTGTGAGGATATGTTATAATGGTCTACAATAGTGGTTCCCAACAGATCTTGGGACATGTCCCACTAGGGGATAAAGGCATTAGTTAGACCCAGTGACAGGACCCAAAGAGTGTGAGTTCAATACCCGGTTAAGGCAGTGGAGAATTTTCAGAGGGAAATTAACAGGAGATAACTGATAACTGACATCCATTAAACATGGCACGTGGAACATAAAACAGTCTACCCCAGTGAGTGAAATAAAGGGTTCAGTTCAACATTCCAACCACCTGAAGAAGGCCAGAGCATACAATGGCCGAAATGTTATAATAAATAATGCGACAAAGATGAGGATAATAGTCCAAATAATGTAAATAATGAACAATCTTAGATTACTCAGAAGTCATCGTAAAATTATTTAAATATTGTCGTTAATTTTTTAAGGTATGAGTAAATCAGTATCACACACATTTCGTTTGTTTTACCTCTACATGTAACTTTGTAGATAACAAACAGATGATAAAATAATTAGAATATACAATGTATATATACATAGCACCTGTTCTTTTCTCTCTGACCATCAATACACAACAAAATGAAACTCGGTGTTTAATCAATATTTTATTTTACTGGCAGAAATATTTGGTTTATCAGTGCAACAATTGACTAAGACTAAACAAGTGGTAATGTCAGTGGGTAGGAATAAAAAAATGTCTGAAGCCTTGCTTACATATACAAAATTCAACTGCAGTCAAAGTTATATTACAATGGTGAATTATTCTAAATTCTGATCAAACGGTTGAATTGTTGCTTTGTCCGCTTTAAATTATCACCAGATTTCAAATTCCAAATAGCTGCTTTGATTAAAGAAAAGTAAGAATATCAAGAACACAAAAGAGGAATTCAATTGTAGATACAAAATTTGAAATGTTAATGACTTTCCTCATTATTAGAGACAACTATACAGCTTGGCCCGAAAGTTACCTTGCTGAAATACTCATTTGTTATCTCTCAGTTCAAACACTTCAGTTCATTTTTCAGAGGCATTTTCATTTTTTATATTCATGTATTTTTCATTAATTTTCTTATTGTTTTATATTAACTTTGTTTTTATTTTATAGTAAAGTCACTTTTGGGCCATCCAGTATTATTATTATATCTTTCTAGTGAAACTTGTAAGCACATCTTTGTTGCTATGCTAACATTTCAACCAGTCTCCACCATACTTCTTCAGGCATTTGTCATAGTCAGTAACCTTCACTGAATTTTGAATTTCCAAGTTTGAAAAGTCAAACTCAGGCCAAGTGAAAAAAAGGTTACCAAGCATGACAGCCATCTGAAGGAAGTCAAATTGTACAACAGCCAAAACACTGTGAGTATAACAAGATGAGTCCAAACATAAAATCCTGTAATAATGAGAATTCCTCATATAAATAATTCTGTCATATTATAGAGATTACGATGATCAGAATGTTGTAATCATAACCATCAACATGAACATGATGGTCTAATTAGAAGGGACATTTAACAATTATAATTCTTCATCTCAAAACTTTTGGCAGTAATTAACTGAGTTTACTTACATTATTTTCCTCCCAATTGACAGAATTTACTGCGTCTCTATATATGTAATCACAGAGAATTAAAGGTCTGCCATTTGTTTAACTAATCCTACCTTTGATATCATTGCTTTGGTTATTAGAAAATAATACTATTTCTTAAGTATAAGCTGCTTTATTTAAAAAAAAAAAAAAAAGCAAACACTATCTCCTTGGCTGCAGATTGCACTAGTTATATGACTTATGAATGTGAGTCATTGTGCAACTTTTTTCATGCCGACACATTGCCACATATTGCTGGGGGATGGGTGTTGCCATCTCTAGATGGATTGCCAACAATGGCTGAAGAGCTACCTGGTCATTAGCACAAACTGGTTTTGAAGTGTTGTCCTTCTAAACTAGTTGCCAACCAAGGTTGAAGAGCTTCTATCGACTCATTAGCACAGAAAGCTATTTTGAATTCAGATGTGTACTTCTCCTAGGCCAATGGCCAAGCAAAGTCAAAGAGCTTCTATCGTCCCATTAGCACAACTATCAACAGCATCTGAACAGTTTTGGATACCCAATTTCATTCACAAGGCTTCAGACAAATCATGATATGGTTGTCAGGCACTTCCCAACAAGACAACATGCTGAGATATCTACTGAAAATATCAAATTCTTGACTATAATGAAATTCAAACCAAATCTAGAACTCATGGCCAAAATGCTAATGCTTAAACCATTCAACTATGTGCCAGTTACAGAAATTTATTATGATTTGAAAAACGTAGAATTTGTTATGAATCTACTAAATATTCAGCAGGGTCATTTTTGGTTGGCGCATTTGAATGTAAAGCCATGTAAATCCCTATTGCCTTTATAGGCAAGTCATTATCTGTAAATTATCAAAAAGAAAAAATATCAGATCAGTTCACCCATTTAGATGTTGGGTTTTAAATCTAATACAAATGGAGGCTTTTTTTGGATTGCAAGCACCTAAAATTCATTAGTCCAGGGGCTTACAGCTATATCAGATTGAAACACAGTTATGATCAAGGTGCTGTAAGCTTGGATGTGCAGATGGTGTAATTAATAACAGCTCAGAATTGGAAATCGAAGAATAAAGTTCTCGTTCCAGTTGGATTCCTTATATTCACTTACACAAAAATACATTTGGGAAAGGGTATGAATCTACCTCTTCTCCCTATTCTTATGGGTTTAGGCCTTGTATCAGTAAATCATTATCATCTCCCAAGAATTTTTACAATCTAAAAATATTTTCTGGCTTTAAATAATCTGCAAAAGGTTGATAAACTGTAAAAAAACAAATCAATCAATCAGCCTAGATTGGATAGATACTCACAAAAAAAAAAAAAAAAAAAACGAAAGAGTGGGGAGAGAGCATAAAAATTTCTTTTGGAGCCAGAATCCATAAAAGAAAAAATTGCATATGCTGTAGTATTAAATTTATTGCAAATGTGTTACACTATAACTACAAGGTGCAACCAAAAATCCTGGTGGGACTTGCAGTAAAGTTCCCTTCCCTTGCCTGTACATCTGATCTTCAAAAACCACTTTGCATCCTACACAGTGAAAGTCATATTTGAAGTCCAGCTTGAAATCGATAAATGTTACGCGGGGTAGACTACAGAAAATTTCCCCTTAGTTCTCCCCATATCTTACAAATATAGTACTTACCCTAACAACTTTCTGTAGTCGCCCTCCCCCAGTGAGCTGGGGTCCTACTACTAATACTATTAAATTAAATTTTCAAATTCCATGAAGTTTCAACTAACACTTTATGACAAACAACTAAATTTATTAGAAATTGTTAAAAACCTTACACGGTTAAAGTATATAAGTTTTGAATTTCATCAATGCACAGAGATAAATTCCTCTTAAAAGTTAGAGGCTCTTTCCAAAACATTAATGACAGTATAAAGACAGACACACAGTTATATAATCCAATGGTCAACATAAAAAGATACTACTGTTTACTTAGTAACTGTATAGATAAATTCTATCAGCTGGGAATGCAAGAGTTTTAAGAGAGCTGATGCATCCTTCATTAGCAATTAAAAAAAATAAATAAATAAAAAGTTGCCCCATTCATTATTGAATTTTGTGAGTCACTTTCTAAAGAGTGCTGTTCTAAGTGCTTTGCCATGCTCTAATGAATAACTTAACATGAAAATCATTGCTACCGAAGCACATTTGATTCTCACTAGGGGTCTCACATGTGATCTTGTGCCAGACTAAATTAAACTATTCATAAAGCTTGCTTTTCATACACAAGAACATTTATAAATAAATCACAATAATGTTGATTTCAGTATAGTTAGTTATTAATACGAACTTAAAACTTTTAATGAAACTGAGAGTTACTTTCAGTAAATTTTGCTTCTAAAATCAATGTACATAAAACTAAATCTTTTATTTTAAGACATTTTTATGTTTATACATTCTTTTTTATAGATACAAATATTTAAGTAAATGCTCTGTTTATAATAAACAGTATTAAACAACATTTACCAGCCTGAATGTCTGAGAAATTTTCATAGAAAATCTTTGTCTTCAGACAGGAATCGAACATGTATCCTATACGGAACCGTCATATAGCCCGACCTGCCTTTGACCGTTTCGGCCACAGAGGATCGTTCAATTAGCAAGGTCGATTTTACGGTCTTTAAACTTCAATCTTCCATGAATCTCTCACGTACATTCATATCTGCTCATGGCGTATCAAATGTAAACAAATGATGTCACACATTATAAAATGGACAAAGTCTGACAATTCTTTTAAGACATTTTTATGTTTATACATTCTTTTTATAGATACAAATATTTATGTAAATGCTCTGTTTTATAATAAACAGTATTAAACAACATTTACCAGACTGAATGTCCGAGAAATTCTCATGTCATATCACTTTTCACAGATCACTTTTAGAATTTAGAAGCCAATATTATAAAATAATCAACTGTATAGCTTTCAAGTCAATTAGGTTTTATTTTTAATTTAAAACTGCCTGTTTAATCCCAAGCAACATTAAGCACTCTTTCTTTTTTTATTTTAAAATATTAATTTTCAGAATATATTTATGAAAATTTAGAGGCTTCCCAATCACTTGTAAAATGTTTTCTTTTTGGATACTTAAAGTTTGACAATGTTAATCTTATAAATATTAATCCCAGTGATAGCTCCAGACCAGTGCCTTTAATACCGCATTGAAATAAACATGTCCCTTGATGAAAAATAAAGAAACAACTCATGCTTGTTGGAAAAGAATTATTTTCCACCCGCTAACTTCTCTCTCTTACAGACAGGATGTGGTGAGTCTCTCACTGATCTAGCACTACTACTATGGAAAGTGCTTGGATAAACTACATTTCTTGGTTCTGCCAGGTTTAACCTTCATGGCTAGGACCTACCATGCCACTTACATAGTAGCAAATCACCCACATTGCCCCCATATTCCATTGGCGAGAGGTAAGTTCCACTGAAACAGCTTCTTTCCATGAACCAATACCCTGGGAAACAGATGTTTCCTTGATCATTACAATCTTAATTTGTTAAAGTCTAGAGTCTTCTTTTACTATCCATATAAACTATCCCTTAACATATCACTCTGCCTTGAATGGTCCGCGGGTCTTGTACAGGATGAAACTTACTGTTAAAAAAAAAAAAAAAAAAAATGATCTGGTTTTAACTTTGATTTAACTGTATTCCAAAATGTAACGAGGGCAAATTAGAACCCTGAAAAATCTTTTGTCATTGCAGCTATTTTACCTTCAATGAACACTGTTGAAAGATTTCAAAATAAATTAGCAGAACCCATTTTGATTTTATTCTAATTAAAGTCTATATTATAAAAGAAGTCTGACTCTTCATGGGCATAGGTAACAGACATATGTACACTTATGTTGAATGTGAGTGACTTATACATGCTTGTGCCAGTTATGTGTGCACACAATTTGATTGAGTGAAATAAAACACTGAAAAAATATATTCTATACCCAGTCTGGACAACTCCTATGATGGGCTGAGCAATAAAATCCTAAAGTTGTAGACAAGGAAACAAAAGAAAAATATTTCTTTAAAAAACAATTCTAATAAATATAGTATTTTAAATGGACAGATTTAGATTTTATACAGTCTGTCAGATTATTTAATGCATAGCTTTAGAATAGATGGATTCATACCTTTCAAAAGGGCATTTACAGTATTTACATGTAAGTTAATGTAACAAACTTGACTAGAATTCAAAGTTGCTCTCAGATATTTCTCCTTCCGAGCTGATATTCATTACACCCACTGCACATCCAAGTTTATAACACCTTTACGTTCCCAAGTGGTCACCCATCTAGGTACTGACCAGGTTCAATATTGCTTAACTTCAGTGATTGGATGAGAATCCGCGTTTCAACATAATTATGGCCGAAAGCATATTCATACCAAGTTCAATATTGAACTTGGTATGATTCATATCACACCAATTTCAATTCACTATTGAAAAATGTTTTCTTGTAAATTCTAAAAGGTTTTAGTAACAAGTTGAAGGAATAAAGGCTATATTGCTGCTGAACACATGCTGTGAAAACACATTTTATGAATGTATGGAATGTGGAAGCAAATAAAATTATGGTAGATATTTAAGATTTTAAAAGCATCTTATCAAGAATAAGTGAGAAATGAAATGACAGAAATTTTTTTTAAATTAAACCAAAATTATGTTTTAAAACTAGAAAATAAAAACGGCGCGAAAAATTGGTCCAACAACAATTATACAAGGAATATTCAAATACTGTTGGTAATAAAAGTTTGACATATGCACCCAAGGCATGAACCATCTAATTTGCAGCTAATTAATTAAGAAACTAATACATTTCCCATTCCAAAAAGAAACGCGTTACGCTTTTTCACCCTTCCAATTTTATTTTAGTGGTTCAGCTTTAAATTCAAATAAAATAAAAACAGTTTAAAAGCCTGGAGCAAAAAGACGGTCGATATTGTGAATAAATTTGTATTATTATTATTTTTCAAATCACATATCAATTTCGAGGGAGAGACTTAAGAAGTCTCTCTCCTCAGCACGTTGTTTTTTGGGGTTTTTTTTTTAAATTACGTCACTTAATAATAATAATAATAATAATAATAATAATAAATAAGAATTTACCACAGCCACAAAACTCGGTTTCACCACCACCACATTTTTCTTGTCAACAAGAAAATAAATAAGGGCAGGTAGATTAAAAAAAAAAAAAATCTCTAGCAACATGAGGTTTGAATTTTTTTAATAGCTTGACAGTAAAATTCAATTTTGTGAAATTACACCTAATCGATTAAAAAAAAAAAAAAGCGCGCACACACACACACGTGTGTGTGTGTAAGTGAGAGAGATAAAAAGAAAAACAGATTTTGAAAATGGATTTTTGTACAGTACAAGGGATCATAGCCACCACACTAAACAACATTATTAGTTATTACCCAGATGATACATACGTGCATTAGACAGATTTTTTTTACCATAAAATTTGAAAAACTGACGTGTTTTGCTGATCAAACAGCGTGATAAGAAAAATGGATTTTTATTTTATATAACATTAGGTATCTCGCCTTGAAAGGAAAACCAATATTTGAGAATCTTCGAGCGAAGTTGCTGAGTGTTGAAAAGTTCTCGGCCCATTTTCTAAATACGATCAAAGTTCAGTTTTTCTTTCTTTTTTTAAGTGGAATGTGAATGGTGGGAAGCCTTTTTGGTCGGGTCGAGAACTTTTCAGTACCTCTCGTACAATGATTGCAGAATGGTGTCTGAAGTTCACATATTCGTTTTGTTGCCAAGCTTATCAATCTTTTTTTCTTTTTAACTTTACAAAGATGGAGACTAGAAAGAGATTAAAATAACAGGGATTTATAATAATCGTATAAGGACGCGTGCTGAGAGAGAAAATAAAAGATAACGGCTCTTTCATTTATCAACCTTACAAGGCAATCTTTTTAGAACTCCGGCTCGTCTGGTCGTGGAGGGGTCACTCACTAACCCTTCTTTTCAAACACACACATAAAGTACTCTAGTCTCTCTCTAAACTAATCAATGTGATGTAGAATTTCACGCAAACGGCTTCGCTTCAATGTTTTAAAAATTGTTCACCCATGCCTATAAATTTTCTCATTTCCACACAAGACCTTCAAAGAAAAATAATTAATAAAAAAGATTCCATTTTCGCACATCACTTCGATCTTAAAAAGCATAACTCTTCTCTTACCCGATTCTTTTAAACTTTTTTTTTTTTTTTTTTTACATCGACGGGTAACAAGTTCTTTTTGCTCTAAAGGGGCTAAGAAGCCTTAATAACAAATCCTTCAAAATCAGCTTACCAAGAAATGGTATTTAACGTACTCATTATTATTAGCAGTACATACCAAAACCATTTGAAACAGACGTGTAGAAACACGCACCTTGACAAAATGAGACAATCTTCAGTCGTAACTCCCTAGCGTTAAACAACATAAAAGCTTCCTAACACAAATTAAAAAGAGACTGTCAATTTTAATTAACAGTTTTAGCATCAACCGAGCTAAACAAATGAAAGGTTAAGATATTACTTTAAGTTTAATTACCCGTTACCGAAGAATTAAAAATAGAGCAAGATGAAAACTAGGGCGAAAATAAGTTTTTTTTTTTTTTTTTTGTTTTTTTAATTAATCATTGTTTTTGTTTACTGTAACAAACTGTTATCGCTTTTTGAAAAGCAGCTAATCAAAAATATAAAAAATAAACTGTAAAGACTAAAAACTAAAAAAAGTAATCCATTTTTAGTTAGAATTATTATTTAAATTTTAAAACAAAAGCGAATACAGAACATTATTTTTTTATTTTTGTTTCTTTGTTCTGTTTTAAATTAAAACAGAGGAAAGAAGAAAAAAGTAAATTAAATTTCAAGATTAAAAACTTTTAATCTTGTAATTCTATTTCGAAATATAACGAAGAAAAAGCAATGGCAAATCATGAATTAACAACATTGATCGATATAAATTGATGTATTTATTTTAATGACAACTTGAGTATCGCTGATTTGACTAGAGACTACTAATTGTCTCTAAACTACACCGAATTTTAACAAACAAAAAAAGTAAACCCAACCTAATTATTGTTTTTTTTTTTATTAATATAATTTTAAAAATTAGAAAAAAAAATTTTTTGAGTAAACATATTCAATAGTTTTAGAATCTGACTCACTAATTTGTAGTAAAATTTAAAATTGTGTGAGATTTTAAAAAAAAAACGTTAAAAATATTAACTGTGTTTGTTATAACAATAAATAAATGATAGTATTTTATCTTTAAATTAAAAAAATAATGTAATTTTTAGAATGAAGTCTTTAGTTCTAAAAATTACATTTTTAGCAGTGGTTGAAAAAAATCTGAAGGCATAAATTTTTTTTTTTTTTTTTCTCAAAGGATAAATCTAGAGAGAGTGGATGAATGAAGTAAAGACAATAATACCTATGTTAGAATACTATTCTAAGAATAGCTTTGGATACAGTAAAAAAAAAATGAAAATCGTAAGGTACGCTTTGTTAGGACAGAAAGAAAAATCAACTTCACCTAGAAGGTAACGAGGGGAGAAAATGGGTTATTTTCATTTCATAAAGAGTTAATTTCTAGTTAATACTTTAAATAACTAAAGCTATAGTCCAACATCTTTTATTAACATTTTACTTACCTACATTAAAATATATATCGCCCAAAATTTGGTTAAAATATTAATTAACTCTTTTTCTTTTATTACAAATTATGACATTTCATAAAACTAAAAATGTTATTAAATTTTAAATAAATACAAATATTAACGATTTTGTTTTGTTACTTTTTCCTTCTACAACCAGATCTAGAGAGGACACGTCAATTAATAAATCGAATATGGGGAAAAAAGTTTATATAAAGAGAGACAGTAATTTTTAAAAGCAAGAAATAAATGCAGAGATGAGATCTCTAAAATGATCTTCCATACAAGAGCGTGTCATCTTCCTTCCCATCGTCTCTCTTCTTGTCTTAATTTCATGCCCCGATGAACACACGAGCCCAAATCATATTCAACCGATTCCTTTTTCCGTCTCATTTGCCATTACAATAGAAAAAAGACCGTATCAACTGAATATGAATTGAATTGATTTAATAATTGCTGATAGTCAGAGGGCTCTTTAAATAATCAATGTATATGTTATTAAATTAAAAAACGTAAACACTTTACAAAGGACATTTCAATATTTAATTCAAGTTGTAAAAATAAAGACGTTAAAAACGTATATCGTTCTGAAATTCATTTAAAAGGAAGAAAACAGATTCCTAGCTATTAATAGACATCAAATAAAGACCCACTTTTCACATCCGAAAGAAATCATCATTAAGGGACTGTAGAAAATCATCATTATTATCAATTCCATCATCGTTTTTTTACCGCTAAAGGAGATTCATTCTAAAATCTCGATGGGTTTTTATCCGCTTTATTTATCCGCTATATATTTTTGTTTCAAACGGAGTTTGGCTCTAACTTTCTTAAAAGTAAATCTTTTATTGAAACAAAATATTTACCCCCAGGGGAGAATGTACAGGACTCCTTAACGACAGTAACAACACGAAGGGAAACTCACAACCCAATTTTATCTTACTCTTGGTTACGGGTGGCTAGCAAAGCGATGACAATTTTACAAATATCAAGCAATAAACCTTATTCATTATTTCCAGAATAAAATACCAATTACACAAAATTAAATGTACACGGTAATATTTTATAAGGACAATATAAAATAACTTTCCCGTAAAGTTAATGAGTGCTTATTTATAAAATTATAGCTCCATTGTCGATCCATAGCACGAGGAATGGCTTGATCATCGCTTTTACTGACTTAAAGGTACCCGCTTATTGTTAAATAAAATAAAACTGGCAATGTTTATTCTGTTTCGGTTTCAGCTCATGATAAACATTTTAAAAATAATAAAAAAAACAGTTATTAAACCTTAGAAGTACGAGAAATAAGAAAGAAATTGAAAAGTCTATTCTAAACAAAGCAGGTCTCTGGTCTAATAAAAAAGTAAGTCTTCTTAAGAAAGTATAAGATAGAAAAAAGAAAGAAGAGGTTTGGATTTTCAAAACTCGTATAAAAAAATATCGATAGCAGGAAAATTAATAACCCTACTAAAAAGTTATTAAAATGGGAAAACAGACCTGAAGTTAAGAAATAACGTTATAATACCAGCAAATATTTTGTATTTGATTAAAAAAAAAAAAAAATCCTCCGAGAGAAAGCATCGTGGTTGCAATTTTTAAAACTAAAGTAACATTTTTTAAAAATTATTTTACGATGAGTTTTTCGTTTTTATTGAAATCAAGAAAAAGAAAAGAAAAAAGATTTTATTATATTTCAAGTCACGCTGGTCAC